TTTAATGTTTTTTTTTATTGGAAATTTATTAGGAAGAATTCCAGCTAGCACTATTTAGGAATAAGAACAGGAGGAATCTGTTTGCAGACAGGGTATGTTAATGTTAATGTTAATGTCAATTTCTGACTTTTTTTTTTTCTTTCTTAAAGACGTTTAAATTCTCGATTTTATATATGTATGGATCTAAATAGCTAAATTGTAATGCGTTTTATGTAGATATTCGATTTGTTCGATTTTAAGCAGAATGGAGTGATTGAATTCGGAGAATTCGTTCGATCTTTAGGCGTATTTCATCCTAATGCACCTGTTTCAGACAAAATTTCGTGTAAGAACGAATATAATTTACTTGTATCGTTCGGATGTTTGTGTGTGTGTTTTATTTAATTCGTATTATTGAGCGAAGAAATTATTTGTCAGTTGCTTTCAGATTATATGATCTAAGGGGCACAGGTTACATTGAGTGGGAGGAGGTAGATTTTCGACCTGTTGTAATTTTTTTTTTTTTATATATATATGCTATATTAATATAATAAAATATCCATTTCGAAATTGCTTCGTACTCCTTAACTTTTGCTTATTTTTTTTTTAAAAAAAATGGTATTTGGCAGTTGAAAGAAATGGTACTGGCACTACTAAACGAATCAGACCTCGTACTTTCGGAGGATTTTGTCGAAATGATTGTGGACAAGGTAAATACTCGGCGAAAATTCTCAAAAAAAAAAAAAAAAAAAGTAAAAAATAGGAAGTAGTGTGAGACTGTGAATTGCCGATTTAGTCAAGAGCACGATTTTTCGTTAAAAGGTTATTTTCAAGAACTTTCGACTGGTTTTACTTTGCTTAGACATTTCAAGAGGCGGATTCGAAAGGTGATGGAAGGATTGATCTCGACGAGTGGAAAGAATTCGTGTCGAAAAATCCATCTCTCATAAAAAACATGACCCTTCCATATCTAAAGTAAGTTCGTTCGACTTTTTGCACGTGTTTATATTTTTACGAATCATAAAGAATAATGTGTAATGAAAATCATGTGTTGATTGTATATTATATGGTGTTTTGCCTTTGCAGAGACATAACTCTTGCATTTCCAAGCTTTGTGGTACACGGCTCGGAAATTGACGACTCTGAAGTGTAAATTCGTGCGGCTAATAAGCACATTTAGCGTGTATTTTGGGAACGGTTTTATACTGTCGAAAAACGGACAAATGAATCTCAGCCTGGAAAAAGGAGCATATAGAAATTTTGAATTTGTGTTCAGACAAAAAAAAAAAAGATGGATATTGCAGATAATGTATAGAATAAGAACTTAAAATGTAACCTGTTGAAACAAGTTACATTTGTTGAATGGATATATTCACCTCAATCTGAGGGTGTGTTTGTATACAAATATATTTGCTCAAAATATAATTTTTTTGGTTAAACAAAGTTAATTTTAGAAAATATGGTGTGATTAGTTGTTAATTCGATTTTGATTTTGTATAAAAATAGTATTTAAAATAAAATAATTAAAGTGATTTGATATAAGAATATGAGAGAGATGATATGAAGCGATGGTTTGTTAAAATTATTTGAATGGATAGATGTCGAATTATAGTTTTGAGTGATATTATTTAATTATATTGATAATATATTGAAGATAGTTGAGTTGAATTAAAGTTTAGTTAAATTTTAAGTATGAATGTATACGAACAAAATTTCATGGTTTAATTTGTAAAAATATATAAAGTCGTTTAAAAAAAATTGCCAAAATTGAATTGCTATTAAAGTGGATGTTATTTCTTTTTTAATTTTTCGAATTAATCATTATTCTTTATTTTCAAGATTTTATATTAGAAAACATTAATTATTTCATTAACTTTCACAAAGCAAAAAAAGAAAAAAAAAAAATCTTAAAAATCAATAGCTTTGTGGGGGATGAATGAGAAGCGAGAGAGAAAAACACATAACGAGCGGTGTTCAAGAAGGTATATTTTTGTAAGTTTTAGTGTAATTTAACTAGTTCAAGATTCGGGTTCTATCAAATAATAAAACTAAACATTTAGAGTTTATTTAGTCCCGTCTTAAATACTCGATTAAATTTATTGTATGAATAATAAAACTAAACATTTTTTTATTTTTTTTTGGTACAAAGAAGGAGGCCAAAGGCCTAGAGGCTACGACACTAGAACTCGACGCGGATGAGCCACGCCACGGAAATCATAATCCAACCATGCACCTAGTCCTTGGGGTGGCGACGG